AGTTGGCCAATTAATTTCTTTCTATTTATAGTAGAGACGGGGTCTCGCTCTTGCTCAGGCTGGTTTCGAACTCCTGACCTCGAGCAATCCGCCCGCCTCGGCCTCCCAGAGAGCTAGGATTACAGGCGTGAGCCACCGCGCCCGGCCTCAGGCTGGTTTTGAACTCCTGACCTTGAGCAATCCACCCGCCTCGGCCTCCCAAGAGCTAGGATTACAGGCGTGAGCCACAACGCCCGGCCTCTTTTGTTTTGTTTTGAGACAGAGTCTCACTCTGTTGCCCGGGCTAGAGTGCTGTGGCGTCAGCCTAGCTCCCAGCAACCTCAAACTCCTGGGCTCAAGTGATCCTCCTGCCTCAGCCTCCCCGTAGCTGGGACTACAGGCCTGCGCCACCATGCCTGACTAATTTTTTCTATTTTTAGTAGAGAGGGTGTCTCACTCTTGGTTGCAGTATTGTCCTCAAGTGATCCTCCAAGTCTCGGGCTCCTAGAGTGCTAGGATTGATTACAGGTGTGAACCACCGCGCCTGGCCTACTCCCACTCTTCCTACTGGCATCTGTGCAATACACTATGGGCCCAGAGAACATTTTATCCTCTTCATTGTAAGTCGACCGTAGTGTTCAGGCTAAGAACACCATGACATTATTCCCACAGCTCCTAGTTCTCTGACGCCACCATTACTGAGCCAAGAGCCACAGAATCATTGGAGGATTGGAGCAGTAGGGCATCGTGGAATTTCTGAGAGAAGAAGGGACTTTTCAGAGGCAGCTGCAGTTCAGACGCGTGGCTATTGCCCACGGTTACGTCAGAGTCTGGTCTAGGACCGGGGCCTTCAGGGTACCACACCAGCTTGTTGTTTCTCCTTTTCCCGGTCATCCTGCTGCGGGAGCGACCTATTCTCAGCTCAGACAGAACACTGCGCGGTTGCCCAACTTGCGCCCAGATGGAAGAGCTCCGCGGTCTTGTCCCTACTGCCTAGTCCCCGTCTGCCCGCGGCCTCAGGTAGGACAAGCTCCGCCAATCCAGAGGGTTCGGAGGCTAAGAAGGCGGGACGACCAAAAAAAATTTAGGAAGCGCCAGCCAATGCGGCGCCTAGCTGCGTGAGCGACGTCCGCAAGCACCCATTTGGAGAGCGCATATGCTTAGTGCACTAGCGGACCAATCCGTGACGGAGGAAGGCGAGTTTGAGCCAATTAAAACTGGGAAGGTGGGAAGGGGCGGAGCTCGCCCGGTGGCTGCTCGGTGGTGGGTGAGGGATCGGCTTTCTCTTCTAGTTACCATCCTGGGAGTTCTTAGCCCCTGGAATGCGAGAGGGAGAGGCTCAGGGAGTTCCCGGAGTGAGGCGTAGATGCATCGCCCGGGAAGGCTTGGGGACGAAACAGATTCTTAGCTGAAGGAACTGCTAGAAGCTACCGGGTGGGCATCGAGGAAGCTGAGGCTGGTCGGGGGGCGGGACTTCCGGGGGCAGGGCCTTTTCGATACGGGGGCGGGGCCTTCCGCGAAGGTTAGGCTGACAGGGCGGAGCTAAGAGGAGATCTTTGGGTGTGACCTAGGGGATAAAAGGGCAGTAAATTAGATTGTCTTGGGGTGGCAAGCAATAGTTAAGGGCTGATGTTAAGGTTGCTGGGGAGGTTACCTACCCTAACCCACTGTCCTCTCTTCCCAGGGAGCCACTAGTGGAGACCTTTTTTGGGCCCCCTTCCCTTCGTGGGGTGCTATGGAGTTCCCAGAACACAGTCAGCAGCTGCTGCAGAGCCTCCGGGAGCAGCGGTCCCAGGGTTTCCTTTGTGACTGCACCGTGATGGTGGGTAGCACCCAGTTCTTGGCCCATCGGGCTGTGCTGGCCTCCTGCAGCCCATTCTTCCAGCTTTTCTACAAGGAGCGGGAATTGGACAAGAGGGATCTGGTGTGTATTCACAATGAAATTGTCACGGCCCCAGCCTTTGGGCTGCTTCTGGACTTTATGTATGCTGGCCAGCTGGCCCTTAGAGGGGATACCCCTGTGGAGGATGTGCTGGCAGCTGCCAGCTACTTACACATGAATGACATCGTCAAAGTGTGTAAGCGGCGGCTACAAGCCAGGGCCCTGGCAGAGGCGGACAGTACCAAGAAGGAGGAAGAAACCAACTCACAGCCCCCTAGTTTGGAGTTTTTGTCCAACACTTCCCGTGGCCCCCAGCCTTCATTGGCATCCGCTGAGACATCAGGCCACTGGGGCAAAGGGGAATGGAAAGGTCTGACCGCTCCCTCACCTACTGTCCGTCCTCCAGATGAGCCACCAGTGTCCGGTGGGGCTGACACTACACAGCCTGGCACGGAGGTTGATTCACCACATCTACGGGCTCCTCCCCAACCAGTGGCTGATGTCTCTCTTGCCAGCCCCAGTAGCTCCACAGAGGCCATTCCTGCAAACTACTTTTCTTCTGGTCTCCCAACAGTTTCGTTAGAGCCCCTGACTCCTCTTGACGTGGGTCCTGAGAGTCTGAGGGTGGTGGAAGCAAGGGATCCTGGAGGACCACTGCAAGGCTTCTATTCCCCAGCTTCAGCTCCAGCTCCAGCCCCAGCCCCGGTCTCAGTCTCAGCCCCAATTCCATCCCAGGCTCCGGCCCCAGCTGAGGCTGAGCTGGTCCAGGTGAAAGTAGAAGCTATTGTGATCTCTGATGAGGAGACTGATGTGTCAGATGAGCAGCCTCAGGGTCCTGAGGGACTGTTCCCACCTGGAAGAGCAGTGTACGGGGGACAACCCACCCAGGCGGAGGCTTTTGAGGAGTCAGGGGCAGCAGGACTGGAGGAGGTGGGGCCAAGTGACCACTTCCTGACTCCAGACCCTCATCTACCCTACCATCTCCTGCCAGGTCCAGGGCAGTATCATCGAGGACTGGTGACCTCACCCCTGCCTGCACCCCCAGCCCTGCATGAGCCACTTTACCTGCCTTCTGAGTATGAAGCAGCCCCAGGAAGCTTTGGGGTTTTTACTGAGGATGTTCCCACCTGCAAGACATGTGGGAAGACCTTCTCATGCTCTTACACACTACGGCGACACGCCACAGTGCACACACGTGAGCGACCCTATGAGTGCCGCTATTGCCTGCGCAGCTACACACAGTCAGGGGACCTCTACCGCCACATCCGCAAGGCTCACAATGAGGACCTGGCCAAACGAAGCAAACCAGATCCAGAGGCTGGCCACCTTCTAGGGGTGCAGCCCCTCCCTGGCTCCCCAACAGCAGACAGACAGAGCAGCAGCGGTGGAGGGCCACCCAAAGATTTTGTACTTGGGCCCAAAAGCTAACTTCTAGGGGAGCATGAGCTGATGCTAGGCCTGCTCTTCCCAACCTTAGATGGCAGCACAGAAGGTTGGAGGCATCACAACACTCTTTCTGGGTAACAGAATGAAGGTTTTGTCCAGGCCAAAGGTTCCCACCCTTTTATTTGCTCAGTTAAGCAGGACTTTATGTGACATAGCATATCAATTAGCTCTCTTCAAGGGTATTGGAAGTTTTCCTGAGGTGTAATTGCTTCTTGCTCCACATTCTGGAATATTAAAGCTAGCAGTGAACCTATCTCTTTGAACTGGTGTTGGCTGGTTTCTTCCCAAAACCTGCATGCCTTCATACCTATTCTTCTGTTCTTTTAGGAATCTAACATCTGTATTTGGGGTAGGGGTGGGGGTCAGATTGCTTTTAAAGAAAAAAGTGACATAGGCAGAAGGTAATGTCCCTTTACTTAGGAAAAGTATACAAATTAGGGAATCTTAAACAATTATGGTTTATTATTGTAGTTGAGCTCCTGTGTTCTGGGATGTATTGGGTACTTCATATAAATACTTGTTTAACTCTCAACTTTATGAGGTATTAGTGTCCCATCCCACTGCCCCCCTTTCTTTTAAATTTTTTCATAAGACAAGGAAACTTAAGACAAAAATCAGTATTAATTGTTTCTTGGTCTTTTGGCTAAGATTAAGTGCAAAAATTAAAGTTAATTTGTTCAAGATCACAGAGCTTAGTTAAGGGCCAAGCCAGGATTCAAACCTGGCTTGTGACTCCAAACCCATTCAGGCTATCCTGGTTTAAAACATTGTTGAAGGTAGTAAACCAAGAACTAGAAGTTGTTTTACTTGTTTATTTATTTTTGTCCTTTTGAGTGTTTGGCTTTGTTGCCTTGTTACCTCTGCTGTCCATGTAGAGTAGAAACAGCATTTGTTGATTGTTTCAACAACAGATACTGTATTGATAGCTTGAAACTTTTGCCTACATGTTGTGAATATGAATTGAGGTCTCTGAAGTTAAGGAACCAAAAGGCCCAAAACAGTATAAGGACCATGCTAACAGATTAGTGGGGGTGGTTGAGGGCCTATGGTGCTGTGGCAATGACTGGCAGCTTGGGAAGTTAGAGTACTCACCTAAGGTCACACAGGTGGTTACTGACAACGGAGATAGCAAAGAAATGGGAGTTTGTGGTGTTGATGTGGGATGGGGACAAAAAGAAGAGCTCTAAGAACGCGAGAGAAGGGTCTGGCCCAGCCTGTGCTATAGGATGGACTAGGTAGGCCCACAGGGGTTCCCAACCTTTTTGGCACCAGAGACTGATTTCATGGAGGACAATTTTTCCATGAATGGCTGGGGAGGAAGGGCAGTGGGCAGAGCTCAGGCAGTGATGCAAGTGATAGGGAACAGCTGTAAATACAGAAGCTTCCCTTGCTCGCCACTCACCTCCTGCTGTGGGGCACCTACCCCCCACCCCTCACCTCCTGCTGTGGGGCACCTACCCCCCACCCCTCACCTCCTGGCTGTGGCACCTACTCCCACCCTTTCCTAAGTTTCATGGAAGACAATTTTCCAAGGACTGGGGGGGGGCGCAGGAGGGGGGATGGGACAGTGGAGCCACAAACCAATACTGGCCAGAGGCTGGGGGTTGGGGACCACGGAGGTATGAGTTTCCCTACAAACCCTTTTCCTCTCTGGCACAATAAGAACATGAATACAAATAAAGGCAGGAAGGAAACAGAAAAGGGAAGATACAAGTAAATTTCTGAATTTACTTTCTCTTTTTGGGTCTGTATGTCATGTTCAGCACTGTAAACCTTACTAGCAAGTGACTATTTTGAGTTATAGAAAGAAGAGCAGAGCAGCAGTGATTGGCCAAAGAAAGCTCCTTAACTAGGGCTTGTGGAAGCAAAAGTTGGATGAACTTAATATTTTCCTGCTGAAAGAGTGAATTCTACACCTTCACTCACATATCCTGCTCGGAAATTACTTCTAGTTATCTTTACAACAATTTACCAATACATTTACTGCCTTAATCCCTTGTGAAACAAGGCAATATATAAATTAATGCAATAAAATTTTCTAGCTGAGTGGAACACCTTTTCAAAGTCTCTAAATATATCAATGAAAATGCCTATAAGAATCAGTTGTCCTTAAAAGGGTGGATTTTACGGACTGTGAGTTATATCTCAATTTAAACACAACCACAAATAAAAGCAGAAAAAAATTGTTGCCTCCAAACATCAGTTCCTAAAAGCAAATGCATAATACAATATGCTTACCATGCTGGTATATAATCTGTATATACTTTTTTAAGACAGTCTGGGAACACAGTAACATTGTATCATTGCACCCCCAGATCCAGTCGTGTGCCATGTAACACTTACTAAAGAGCTGCTGTTCTCTGGGAGATTCTAACAGGAGCAAGCATTTGCTTTTAGTTCCCAAAAAGAGCATTCTTCATTGTAGTGGTTCATTGTAGTGGTGGTCTATTTGCATGATTTTTTTTTTTTTTTTTTTTGAGACAGAGTCTCACTTTGTTGCCCAGGCTAGAAGATGCCATCTGGAGTCAGCCTCGCTTACAGCAACCTCAAACTCCTGGGCTCAAGCAATCCTTCTGCCTCAGCCTCCCGAGTAGCTGGGACTACAGGCATGCGCCACCATGCCCAGCTAATTTTTTCTATATATATTAGTTGGCCAATTAATTTCTATTTATAGTACAGATGGGTCTTGCCTCTTGCCTCAGCTTGGTTTTGAACTCCTGACCTTGAGCTATCCGCCCGCCTCGGCCTTCCAGAGTGCTAGGATTACAGGCGTGAGCTACCGCACCTGGCCTAATTTCTTCTGATATACTTCTTTATTGCAATCTAATTCTCTTTCTAAGTTTTAGTAGAGACGGGGTCTCACTCTTGCTCAGGCTGGTCTCGATCGCCTGACCTTGAGCAATCCACCCGCCTCAACCTCCCAGAGTGCTAGGATTATAGGCATGAGCCACCGCGCCCGGCCTGGGGTTATTGGTTATATATTTTGAGGGTCTATAGTTTGCTGATTGCATCCCCTCCCCATAGTTCCATTTAATATGTTTCTCTATCCAAAGGTTCCTTTAAAATGTGTATTTAAATAAAATATTCACTATTAGTACAGGTAATATGTGGTTTTGGCAAAATTGTGAAGGTAGTGGGTATGAGTCTGGGAAACATTGTCTCTGTCTCTCCTGTGCCAAAGTATGATCCTTTACATCCATATGAATGCTTTCTCTTCACTCAAATCTTCAAATCCTGGCTGGAAATAAGTAAGGATTGGTTAAGTGAGCAGTATCTCCCTTCACAACTTCTGAATACAGAGATTTGAGTACTCTCTGGCTGATTCCTTCAGTATATGGGCTTCTCAGATCTCCTTAAGAACTGCATCAAACTGTTTACTGTTGTCTGCTTTCCTGTTCATGAACCTCTCTGTGAGGAGCTGGGCTTCAAAATAAAAACTGAAATGTAAGCCTGATCACTGTGCTCTCTCTTAGCAGCACAAATAAAAGGGTTAGTGTAATAAATTTCTAAAATGCATTTTTAAATATCAGTTTTATTTTTTCCCCACTGATGCAGAAGATAGTTTACTGTAACATTAAGTCTTTGAAATAAAAAAAGGGAAGAAAACGAAAATCAGAAAGCAACATCAGCCCAAAGCAAATAAAACATGCAACCATGATGAAAAAAAAATTTTTTTAAGGTGTGCACTTTTATTGAACTGGTCTCAAGTCAGTGTACAGGTAAGCCCTGGCTGCCTCTATACCTCCACCCACTCCCAGGGAGACCAAAAGCCTTCAAACGTCTCAAGTTGGGGCACAAAAAGGGGGCCACAATGGCTGCTCATTCAAAATAAAACAAAATAAAAGAGTATTAAGGCGAAGATTAAAAAAAATTTTGCATTACATAATTTACACAAAAGCAATGCTGAACCATGACGAAATTTTGTCAATAAACCTAGGTTTAGCAATTTAAAAAGCTTGGATAAGGAATAATGTATAGGCAGGAACAAAGAAGAGTCTAGTTCATTTGGAGAGTGGGTGTTATTGATAAAGGACTAAGGTTTTGTTTTTTTCTGAAATCTGTCTGTGGTTATTTGATGGCTAATGACACATACTTATCACCTCCACTGACAAAGGCAGAGGGGTGTTATAGAGTCTCATCTACTACATAGGACACACGACATCAGAGACATTATCCACAACAAGTAAACGGAATGACAAAGGAGCTTCTGGTTGATGGAGCCTTCCACTGAGCCAAGACTGCACCAGATCTGCAACCTACAACCATGCCCAAGCCAGCTTCTAGAGAGTTCCATCAGGTGCTTAAAAGGCACTAAGCAAGAATAGCCCTTCCTCATTGTCTTCCTTCTCTGGAAGGACCTGAGCTCTTACAAACTACAGGGTGACAGATAAAGAATAGATTTATGTTTTTACCCTGCTCTGTCTTTCCTATGATTTTTAGAGAAATGAGCATACTATAGATATATACCTATTAAAAATTAAAATGTTCTGTGAACACTATACTCTGTAAAACAAAACAAAAAAAGAAAAGAAAAATGTTTACTTGGTTTTTTTTTGTCATTAAATAAATACTTTTTTATCTTAAACTCCTGGGCTCAAGTGATCGTCCCACCTTGGCCTAGCCATAGTGCTAGGATTACAGGTGTGAGCCGCTGTGCCCAGCTTAAATAAATACTTAAATGCTTGACTCCAGAGGTTTTAAAATAGTTTAATGAAAAAAATAAGTATACTGTATTAATGATCTGTGTATGAGCAATAGTAAGAAAAAAGTAGGGAATCAGATATTTTTGTAGATATTTTCAAGAATCTGAATGTGTGTGGAATGTTAAAGAGATTAAGGAATTAATTTAACCAAAATGCTTAATCTAAAAACTTTCATTTTAATACATTTGGGCCTAATTTATAATTGTCTAGTTTCCCAAAAATATAATTCTCAGTTAGGCTTTGGGCAACTGAGAAAACAAAGGGAAGAAATCTCTTTCTACCTATCATTATTTAATCCTCTGGTAGCCTTCTCTGAATATGAATACATCTAACAACATCGATTATTGAAATCTATGTCAGAGATATGATTGAGTTCACTCATAGCTGATGAATGTCTTCTTTTTCTTTATTTTTAAAAAGTGTCAGCCTTGCACAGGGGCCATGCTAATCTTCTTTGTATCGTTCCAATTTTAGTATGTGTGCTGCAGAAGTGAGCATGCCGCTGAATGTTTTCTGATTGTATTTCTCAAGGCAAATATCCCCAACATCTATTGAAAGCTATACAAATATACAGATTGACAGACAAAAAGACACACAGACTGTATATGTAGTAAAGAGTTTGCAGAACTGAAAACAAAACAGAAATCCACCTGGGTCAGAGGTATAGGGTTAATTTCTCTTGCTGAGGCTCAGGTTTCCCCTTGATGGGTTAATAGTCCACCTAACTTCAAGCGAAGGAGCATCTTTCTTCTTCGTTAACCAAACATGCCCAGGTAGAGCTGTTTCTCTTTCCTATGGTAGCTGCTGAGTTCAGACTGTGTCAGCTGGAGGTACCGCCGGACATTGGCATCTTAGAAGATAATGAGAAGGCAATTAGAGACAGTTAGACCAAAACTGCACCTTAGGGCAAGAGGACTGTTAACACACTCCCATTTTTTTTTTTCTCTCCAAGATCTGAATGTATCAAAATCATTCTATGCAATAGTAAGTCTCATTAGTTAATACCACTTTGGGTTTTTTAAAAAATCTCTATACATGGCCGGGTGCGGTGGCTCATGCCTGTAGTCCTAGCTCTCTGGGAGGCCGAGGCGGGCAGATTGCTCGAGGTCAGGAGTTCGAAACCAACCTGAGCAAGAGCGAGACCCCGTCTCTACTATAAATAGAAAGAAATTAATTGGCCAACTAAAAATATATACAAAAAATTAGCCGGGCATGGTGGCGCATGCCTGTAGTCCCAGCTACTCGGGAGGCTGAGGCAGAAGGATCGCTTGAGCCCAGGAGTTTGAGGTTGCTGTGAGGTAGGCTGATGCCACGGCACTCTAGCTGGGGCAACAGAGTGAGACTGCCTCAAACAAAACAAAACAAAACAAAAAAACTATAGCAGAGCCTCTAGCCTGTCATCCTAGCACTCTGGGAGGCCGAAGCAGGTGGATCGCTCAAGGTCAGGAGTTTGAAACCAACCTGAGCGAGATCCTGTCTCTACCAAAAATAGAAGAAATTGACAAAATAAAAATATATAGAGAAAAAATTAGCCGGGCATGGTGGCGCATGCCTGTAGCCCCAGCTACTTGGGAGGCTGAGGCAGTAGGATCACTTGAGCTCAGGAGATTGAGGTTGCTGTGAGCTAGGCTGATGCCACGGCACACACTCTAGCCTGGGCAACAAAGCGAGACTCTGTCTCAAAAATTAAATAAATAAATAACTATAGCAGAGCCTCTAAAGATACTATTCACATAGGTGGCAGTTCATCTATGACAGTAAGAAATATGAACAAATAGCTTATATTGTATATCTTTATTAATTCATACTGGCATTGTCATTCATTTAAAACAGTGAGATTTTACTGCATTGCTACATGTTTGGGGGCCCTCTGCTTTTAGCATCCAGTGGCTGCTGTAAGCCAGAATGCAAAAAGGAAGACACTTTTCAGCGCTGAACCAACCAACATAAGAATGAGTCTGTCCTTTTTCACAACATATTTTTTGCCTTGGAAGCAAAGCACCAAGTCTCAAATTTTCCATCAGTAGGCCTGCCCTTTTTCTAGGTCGTACCTAAGGTTAGCTGAGCTATGGGACAAAATGATAGCTAAAGCAAAGGCCAGCCCCCAGTCAGAGAGCTGGCAGAATGAGGATTATCAAGTTTACTCACTGGGGTCCACAACTTATTCCAGTCACGCTCTTAAAGGCTAGGAACTGATCCTTGAAAAAGAATGGTTTTTAAATCTATCATAGAGTAGGGGGATGGCAGCAATTTTTTAATATATAAAACAGGCATGCAAACCTATATATGAAACAGGCATATATACATATACAGACACACATATATATATACATACATATACATATATACACATAAACATTTCCTGAGGATATACACAAAACTAATAATATTGCTTTTCTAGGGAGACAGGAACACAGGAGTGGAGAAAGGCCTGTTCATTGTATACCTTTTATTTATTTATTTATTTTTAAAGTTTCTGCATGTAACATTGTATACCTTTTAATATGTTTTGAATTTTGAACCAAGCAAATGTGTTATCTAATCAACGAAATCCATAAATTGAAAAAGTAAAATAAAACAAAAGCCCCTTTCCACAGATAACCACCTCGGCAGGACCATTTATTTCGTCCCTACCACTTGAGTCCCCTTTTTGCTCACCTTTAGGCTGCCTACTGACAGCGGCCAAGAGGTAGTGTCGAGCTTGGTCATAGTCCTGCAGATGGAAAGAGGCTACTCCAGCCCGATACAAGGCTTTGGCATTATCAGGCTGTCGTTCCAGGACTTTCTGACTGTATTCTCTCACTCGTTCGTAGTTTACTGGCTCCATCTGAAGGAGGCAGGCTAATGGGCCAAATGAAATGAGAGAAGAGGGAGGAGAGACTTATTATAGTGGGTTCCACTGGCCAGCTTAACACAATACCAAACACAGGACAGCATCAACAACATTCTACTCAAGTGTCTTCCGTGTGCCAGACACTCTTCTAGGTATTAGGGATACAGGAGTGAATCAAAGCTTTACATACCCTGTAGTCTACTTCAGTATCTACTGATCGCCTACTACATATCTAGTGTTGGGTTAGGCCTCACTACAAAACCATTAAGAATATACTCTTGTACCGCAACTTCAATAACAACAGTTGCCATTAATTGTGTGAAGAAATAACAAACACTGTACTGTGGTTTGATATACACTATTTTTTTTTCTTTTGAGACAGAGTCTTGCTGTGTTGCCCAGGCTAGAGTGAGTGCCGTGGCATCAGCCTAGCTCACAGCAACCTCAAACTCCTGGGCTCAAGCAATCCTGCTGCCTCAGCCTCCCGAGTAGCTGGGACTACAGGTATGCGCCACCATGCCTGGCTGATTTTTCCTATATGTATTAGTTGGCCAATTAATTTCTTTCTATTTTTTTTTTTATAGTAGAGACGGGGTCTCGCTCAGGCTGGTTTTGAACTCCTGACCTTGAGCAATCCGCCTGCCTCGGCCTCCCAGAGTGCTAGGATTACAGGCGTGAGCCACCACATCCGGCCTAATCTTTTTCAAAATTATTATTTTAAATTTTTATTTATTTATTTATTTTTCTATTTTTTCGGTTGGCCAATTAACTTTTTTATTTTTATTTTTAGTAGAGACGGGGTCTCACTCTTGCTCAGCCTGGTCTTGAACTCCTGAGCTCAAATGATCCACCTGCCTCAGCCTCCCAGAGAGCTAGGATTACAGGCGTGAGCCACCGTGCCCGGCCTTCAAAATTATTTTTTAATGTTTTTTACAGATGGGATCTGAATCTGTTGCCCAGCCTGGAGTACAGTGGTGCAATCATAGCTCACTGGAGCCTAGAACTCCTGGCCTTAAACAGTCTTTCTCCTCAGCTTCCCAAGTACTGAGACTATAGGCACATGCCACCATACATGGCTAATTTTTTTTTAATAGAGACAGGTTTTGCTACATTGCCCAGGCTGGTTTTGAACTCCTGGCCTCAACCAATCCTCCTGTCTTGGCCTTCCAAAGTACTGGGATTACAGCACACCCATTCTCCTTTAACCTTTTCATCCATACTGTGAATTGATGTTACTATCTCCATTTAATAGATGAAAGAAATCAAGGCTCAGAGAAGTAAAGTAACTTGTTCAAGATCTCACAGCTTCTAGGTAGAATGAGTATAAAATTTGAACCAAGCACTCTCTAACTCCAAAATCATCATCATTCTCAATGGCAATACAGTATATTACTTCACTATTCACTTGGATAATTTAAAGGGACCTCAAAATACAAACCTGCTTAGGAGGCAATGTTCAAGTCAATGTTCTGCCTTTCTACAATTAACAAGGGAAACACATTCCCTATTTCACAACTGTGGAAATTAAACATAGTATAGTTAAATTATGGTACTGAGAAGGACCAAGAATCAGGGCTGATGAAGACATTAAAAGGCCTGGGCTTATATTCACATCCTTTCTACAACATCTTCACCAAGTGGTTAAATGGTTTATACTTAGATATTTACCCAGGGGTCAACTAATCCATCACTCTACCTTCATTCATTTGACAACCAGTTATTGGGCACTGACCATGTGCCAGGCACTGAGCAAGGAACAGAGGATAAGAGGAACAAGGCAGACATCGTGATAATTAAATGCAACTTGCATCCTAGTCCCTAAGTGGGAGAGTGCAAGGAATAAACAATAAACAAGGAGATGTTTTGGTTTCATTTTTTGAGACGGTCTCACTCTGTTGCATAGGCATGAGGGCAGTGTCATGATAGCCCACTGCTACCTCAAACTCCTGGGATCAAGTGATCCTCTTGCCTCAGTCTCACAAGTAGATGGGACTACAGACACATGCCACCATGCCGAGCTAATTTTGCTATTTTTTCTAATTTTCTATTTTTGGTGGAGATGGGGTCGTTTTGTTGCCCAGGCTTGTCTTTTTATTGTTATTATTATTTTGTTTTAATTTCCTTTTTTGTGCATGTGCCAGTCAAATTTAGCAGTGGGGGGTTGAATACCAACTTTAGTGACACTAATGTTAATAAGTTCTGATAACCCACTACCATTGGAGTGGGTTACCAGGGTTGTCTTGAACTCCTGAGTTCAAGTGATCCTCCTGTCTTGGCTTCCCAGTAAATGCATTTTATGTGAGGAAAATAAAACTTTGCTGGGCTAGAGAATGAATGAAGTCAGAGTGCTGTTTGCTTACAGAAGTCCTCTCTAAGAAAGCAACTTTTGAGCCAAAATCTGAATAACATGGGTCACTCAAGGGACCTTTTGTAGGCTCTCTTTTCTATCTCAAGAAAAGTGAGCCTACAAAGCCCGAAGGTGGAAAAGTGCTTTGAGCATTCAGTATATGGAAGAGCTAGGTCACTCAGGACCTGCAGGTGAGGGGCAGAGTTTGGATTTTCTCGTAAGTGTGATGAGATGCCACCAGAGGACTTTAGGCAGTGATACAAATCTGCCTTCATTATCTGTAAAACAGGGACAACCATAAGTACTTTGCAGAATTTTTGTGAAGATGAGAGATATGTAAATAAACTGCCAAACATGGTATAGGGACTCAATAAATGAAAAATTTTCTTTTCCTGTCTCCTTGCTAAGGGAAGAAAATTGTTAATTCAGTGAGTCTTTATGGAGCATTTAGCTCTAAAGACAGTAAGGCATAAACCCTACCCTCAATATACCTGGAGAGTCAAGACTTCTAAAAGCAACTCTAAAGCAGCTTGTTTCTTGATTTTTGGTCAATTCTCCAAAATGTATACTAGTCTTCAATAATGTACAGTATTCTGCAATAAGAACTTAAGCTCTAGAGTAAGACTGCTGGGGCTTAATTTTAGCTCCACTAATTACTAGCTGTTTGTTTCCTTAAATTTATTTCAAAAGATTGCTATGACACATAGGTTAATGTGTATAAAAGGCAATGTCTGCCCATGGCATTTCATAAATGTCACTTCTATGAGCCCTCCCTAACCATCCTCTTTAAAAGTGAATACCCGCCAGGTGTGGTGGCTTATGCCTATAAACCTAGCACTCTGGGAGGCCGAGGTGGGCAGATGGTTTGAGCTCAGGAGTTCGAGACCAGCCTGAGCAAGACCCCCATCTCTACTAAAAAAATAGAAATTAGCTGGACAAATAAAAAAATATATATATATAAATTAGCTGGGCGTGGTGGCACGTGCCTGTAGTCCAGCTACTCGGGAGGCTGAGGCAGAAGCATTGCTTGAGCCCAGGAGTTTGAGGTTGCTGTGAGCTAGGCTGACGCCATGGCACTCTAGCCCAGGCAACAGAGTGAGACTCTGTCTCAAAAAAAAAATGAATACTCCCATGCCTACGGCACTCACTATTTCCATTTTCCTATTTATCCTTTTCTATAGTACTTATCGACATCTAATATATTTTATATATATATCACTTCTTTTGTAATCTCCCTTTCCATGAGGACAGGGATGTTTATCTGTTTTATTATACTGTGAATCCTTAGCACTTAATAAGTAATTGTTGGATTGAATGAATGGAAACACTAGTTACTATAATTATTATTATTGTGACTTGAGTCTAAGAGTAGCCTTGGATACATAGTAAAAAAGAGGTTTTTATCAAACTACAGCTAAACAGTATTGAATTTTAAAACCATTTTTAGGCTGGCGTGGGCTAGGTGGGGGGATTGTTTGAGCAGCAGTCAAGGTATGATCTCACCACTGCACTCTAGCCTGAGTGACAATGTGAGATACTGTCTCTTCAAAAAAATAAAAATATCTAAGTAGATTATTTCAATCCAGCAATCCCATTAATGGTATTCTACTCAAAGGAAAATAAGTCATTTTATCAAAAAGTCACCTGCACTCAAATGTTTACTATAGCACAATTCACAATTGCAAAGTTGTGAAGTCAACCCAACTGCTTATCAATTCATGAGTGGATTTAAAAAATGTGGTATATGTATACCATGGAGTATTACTCAATCATAAAAAAGAATTAATGCCTTTTACACCAATTTGGATGGAACTGGAGACCATTATCCTACGTGAAGAATCTTTTTCTTTTTTGTTTTTTTTTTTTTTTGAGACGAGTTCTCCTTTGTTGCCAGGTAGGTGGTGCCATGGCGTCAGCTAGTCACAGCACTCTCAAACTCTGGGCTCGGCGATCCTTCTGCTCAGCCTCCCGGTAGTGGGACTACAGGCTGCGCACCATCCCGCTAATTATATTATATATCAACTGGGCAATAATTTCTTTCATTTATTATAGTAGAGGGGGTCTCGCTCTTGTCAGGTGGTTTGACTCTGACCTTGGCAATCGCCCGCCGGCACTCCCAAGAGCTAGGATTACAGGGTGGAGCCCACGCGCACGCGGCTCTCTTTTTTTTTTTTAGAGATGGTGGGTCTCGCTCTTGCTCGGCGTGGTTCTCGAACTCCTGGCCTCAAGCAATCATCCCACCTTGGCCTCCCAAAATGCTGGGTTGTAGGTGCGCACCGTCTGCTTATTTTTTTTTTTGGTGAAGAATTTGAAGAATAGGAAAACAAACACCGCATGTACTGGCTATTAAATTGGAACTAACTGATGAGTACACATGTGCACAGAGGGAAGTAAAACTCAGTGGAAATCAAGTGGGGAAGGGGGAGGGGAGGGGGCAAAAACACCTAACAGGCACAATGAACACTATTTGGGTGATGGGCACACTTACAGCCGTAACTCAAGTATAACAAAAGTGGTCCATGTAACCAAAAACATTTGTACCCCCTTAATATTTTGAAATAAAAATGAAAAACAATAATTTTTAAACTAATAGGAAGTGTAAGAACTAATCCTAATAATTTCTATGCCTCAACTTGGACTGTTAGGAGGTTCTAATATACTGCAAAATAATTTAATTAGCTCTGTGGTTATTATGCCTGCCATAGAACGGATCTAAGAAGTCTCCCTTTTCTTAGCCGGTTAATCGTGGTGATACTATGCTATACTAACTATGGCATCCATATCTCCACCCAAGGGCATCTGGAGCTGGAAGATACTAGTTATCCAAATTAGGTGATTTACAGGAAAGACGAAAATGAAGAAAAGCTATAAAAACCATTGAATATAAGTGATCTACACCACCAGCTAAAGCAAGTAACTTGTTTCCCAAGAAGCTGTGTTTTAGCAAACTCTCCAGGTGAAGTCTGAGAAGCCGTAGTCTACAGCAGCTCGATTAGAGCCCTACAGATTGGAAATGTATTTCAATTAATGGCAGAATAATTGAGTAACAGAAAAAGAACGTCAGTGTTTTCTCCGATATTTACACACTCATGTTCCTGCACTGATGTTTTGTTTTTTTTTGAGACAGAGTCTCACTTTGTTGCCCAGGCTAGAGTGAGTGCCGTGGCGTCAGCCTAGCTCACAGCAACCTCAAACTCCTGGCTCAAGCAATCCTCCTGCCTCAGCCTCCCAAGTAGCTGGGACTACAGGCATGCGCCACCATGCCCGGCTAATTTTTTGTATATATATATATTAGTTGGCCAATTAATTTCTTTCTATTTATAGTAGAGACGGGGTCTCGCTCTTGCTCAGGCTGGTTTCGAACTCCTGACCTCGAGCAATCCGCCCGCCTCGGCCTCCCAGAGAGCTAGGATTACAGGCGTGAGCCACCGTGCCTTGCACTGATGTTTTTCTACCCACCCTTCAGCCCTGTTCTTACCAGCTAGATTGTTGTAGCAGTCTGTCTGGGTGGTTTGCAGTATGTTTTCTTGTTCAGGTGTGAGAGCCGGGCCCTGAGGCCCTAGGTTAGGTATCGGGGAGGGCAGACTTGGATCCAGACCCCGAAGCTGAAGCAGAGCTCGATGGTACCTACTCACAGCATCTCGGTACTTCCCTTCCCGGTAGCGCTGGTTCCCTTCCTCCTTGTACAGCTGGGCCTCCTGCAGGCGCTTCTCCATAACTCTTTGTCACCCAGTGCTCTTGCGAACTGGGAAGTGAAAGAGCAACTGAAGCTCTGGGGTTGGGAGCAAAATAACTGATTTTGGTAGCCGACTTAAGAATGCAGGAAAATTATCCTTCTCCAGGAGGCCCCAGCCCTTGGGACGTGAGCTTTGCTTGTTTTTACTAGAGCCACATCTCTCCTCTCTGCAGTTTTTCAATCTCCAGAAGTGTAGGAAACTATTTAGGAAGAGGATGTGAGAATAGTGAAACCAAAGATTAAGTGATTTCCTAACACAGGCGATTCCGAAGTAAGTCGACTCCCCCCCACCACGAAAAAGCAAAGGCCCTACTAAAGAATTGTGGCCGGCGTGCGAACGCCGGCAGAATTCGCTTCCTCCTCTTGGATACGCCCCCCTCTGACCTGGAAGTAGAAAGGAGTAGGCGGGGACTACTGCTAAAAGAAATAGGGAGAGCTTGCCTCCACTCCAGCTCTTTATTTCTCCTTATTCAACAAGCATTTGATGATGTCAGTGCCACAAGCTGGGAAACCGAGGTGAATGAGGCTCGTTCACTCCAACCCACAGGAGAGAGAAGGCCTTACAGCACCCCCATTGCAAGCCCACCAGGCGCCACAGCCAGTTCCTCGCCCTCTGCAGATGCTCAAGCCCGGAAGTCTCCTCCAGGGCTTCGGTTTACGGGCAGTAGCACGGAGAGGAAAGGGTCGAATCTCCTGACAGTTTGGTGCCTAACGGGTCGCGCGCATTTGTACCACATCGCCCAATCAGAAGCAGCGCCGGAAAAAAATAATCCCGCAGAAATGACCCCGCCTCCCCAGCGGACTAACCCGGAAAAAAAAAATCCCCTGGTAGTTCGGCCAATTGAAATAATCCGGACCATCACGGATGACCAATCAGAATGGCAGATGACGATTCAAGTTGGCCAATAACAAAGAAGAAAGGCGGGATCAGGATGTCTGTTGCTGGGTAGAAGTTGAGTCGTTGAGAGAAAAAGAGGGCTAGAGATTGCTGTATTCCTTGGTTCGAAAAAACTCTTTGGCTTACAGGCCAGAAAAACAATTGCTAGTAGGGTCTCATGTTGCAATAGCTTTCCTTTTGTTGTTACTCTCAAGAAGCTGCTGCATACAAGTCAGCAGAGGAAAGAGGCTAGCGGCGAGCCCTAAGGCCCCGGGGCAATTGAAAGTCAGACGGAAGTAAAGGTGGTCATAAAGTGGGAGGGGCGTAGGCTAAGGGAGCTGCGGACGGCTGCGCAGACCCGCCGCTGGAAGTACAGCAAGACCGGCGCGCACACGTTTCCGTGCTACGAGGCACTTGAGCCGCAGCCAGTCTTGCCCGTCTCGACTCCCCTGCGGCTGCGCAGTAAAACCACCAGCGGCGATTGGTCCAGGAGGCGCAAGGGGGCGGGAGGGAGAAGGAGGGAACTCCGTCGTCCTCCGCGCGCTCGCCTGCGGCTGGGGAACTGAGGGACTGGAAGGGAAGCAGCTCCCCGTTGCGTTGTTTCTGGCACCGTGAGCCGAAGGGGGAGGGGAGGAGGAAGGAGAAACAAGCACTACGTAGAGGGTACCGTGCGCGGCCTCCCCTATCTGCGTGCGTGCGCTCGCTCGCGCGGGCTCAGTGCTGGCGCGTGAGGTGGAGGCGGGCGGCGGCGGCGCCTGCGCGGTCGGGTTCGGTCGACGGTTCGCAGGGGAGGAGGCGGCGGGAGGCGGAGGAGGCGGCGGCGGCGATGGAGGTGAAGCGGCTGAAAGTGACCGAGCTGCGGTCGGAGCTGCAGCGGCGGGGCCTGGACTCGCGTGGCCTCAAAGTGGATCTGGCGCAGCGGCTGCAGGAGGCGCTGGACGCTGAGATGCTCGAGGACGAGACCGGCGGTGGCGGGGCCGGGCCCGGCGGGGCCTGCAAGGCGGAGCCTCGGCCTGTGGCCGCGTCGGGCGGCGGCCCGGGCGGGGACGAGGAGGAGGACGAAGAGGAGGAGGAGGAGGACGAGGAGGCGCTGCTTGAGGACGAGGACGAAGAGCCACCCCCTGCTCAGGCCTCGGACCAGGCCGCGCAGCCGCCGCCGGATCCACCGGAGGCGGCAGCCATGGAGGCCTTGGCCGAGCCCAATGCTTCCGAGAAGCCGGCGGAGGCCACGGCCGGGTCAGGTGGGGTAAATGGAGGCGAAGAGCAGGGCACTGGCAAAGGGGAGGAAGACGAGCCCGAGGAGCGGAGCGGCGATGAGACGCCAGGATCCGAGGCGCCGGGTGACAAGGCCGCAGAGGAACAGGGTGAGGAGCTGGCAGCGGAGCCCGGCTCCAACCTGCCGAGTGCGCCCCTGGTCTAGCACTGCGCCCTGCACCGCAGGGTCGGATTCCTTGTTCTCACTTGTCTGAGAGTGCAAGGCTCCCATTGTCATTTGATGGGGCTCCCCAGGGGAAGTCGCTTTCATCCTTTAGCCACCTTTCTGGGGGGTTTGGCCGCCTCTGGGTGTCCTCACTCTTTGCAGGAGGGAGGTTCCTGCCTACCTTGGTTCTTTGGAGATAGTGGATAGAAGTGATTGATTTTTGCATGTGAGCTACCTGTGGAACAGTCTCCCGCGGTGCTTGTTATTTTTTTCTTAGCTGAGAACGTGCCGAGAATTTGGCAGTTACATGGAGAGTCAGACCGACATTTGGAGACTTAGGCCTTTGGGCTACCTGCCTGTTGACTTTTTCACCATAAGAATGTTAAGCAATAAACTCAGTCCGTCAAAGTCCGCTCTGTCAAAAGCACATTACTAGAGCTTGAGCTATACAGAGAATCTGGAAATCTAACCTGTTCCTGCTTCAGCAGTAGGGGGCAACCTCTAGTAAGAGGCTGTTGGGTTTAATAGTTAACTAATGAAGAGAAAATTTTAATCTAGTGCGTTTATATAAATTAGTTAAGGTTACTTGATAGGGTTTTTATTTTTGCCTTTATTTTTATATTTTAATGGTCCCACTCAGTTTATGATGGGCATATTCGTAGATTTGATGTAGTACACTTGGCGCTAGCCTTTTACATTTCAGACCCTTGGCTTCCTGGATTGAAATGATTGAGGTGCTGGTGCATCCCTTGAGTAACATTGTGGAATACAATGCATAGAGTCGCCCCAGGGAGTTAGTGACCTTTCTCCCTTTTTTTGAAGTGATTGGATGGTTAGAGCTGATCTATAACAGTATCTGTCAGAGTAGAGAGGAAAACTAGAGCTGTTTCCAAGTCTTACTATAAAGTGGGTTGCCTTAGTAATTTTTATAATAATTTTTTTAGGCAGCTATGGAGTATCTTGGTAAAATTGGAACCCATTTTACATCAATCACATGCAACTTGCAGATTGTTCGTCCTAAGTCCTGGAACAAAATTCCCATTACATAACCTTTGACTTATGTGTATCCCAAATAGCAGGTAATAAATGTTGAGGGATAAAGAATTGTTTTAAAGAAATTATTACTAAAAACCTTCTTACTGTTGCAAAGTACAAAAGCCTAAGAAAAAACTCCAGGTTCCTGATTTTCCTCTTGTAAAGAATGTTGCTAAATATATGACAACACACCTTCCTGCCCCAAATTATTTGCAGTAAAGATGCAGTATTATTTATGGGTCTCTTGTGACTTAATGGTTTGTTCTTGCAACTTTCAGTAAAGATCATTGATAAAAATATAGGTATGTATCATGCACTTAAGTCCACCTGCCATATAAGTAAAGCCATGGATGGCTGTGCATTTTAATGCATGAAAAGCTAACTTAAAAAAAAATAAATTGAGGCTTCTATATCATGAAGCTGTGGAAAAGTATTACAAAATATGTTAAATGCCTACCTTAAATCCAAATCTGACAAGAGTCAAAATTAAATTAACCTTTGAAGGTTTTTTTAAGGACCTAAGGGATATTTTTCATGTCATATTGATGGGAAAATCTGCAAGTTTGACCTGATTTAAGCAGATAAATTTAGAATGCAAAAATTGTCCAATTTTTATCTTCTGCTTGACTGCAATTAGCCCATAATGTCTTTTTTTCTTTTTTGAATAAAATCCCAGCCCATGACAGGAAGATAATCTTTAGAAATAAGATGTTATGTGAATACAGTGGGAATAACCTGGCTATTTCCATTAGACAGCTACTCAGATCCCCCTTTAGTTTCCATTGGTTCTGAGCTTATTCTACATACCAGTATGAAAACTGCTGATTTTCTTTCCCTCCTTTTTGTAGGAGATGACCAAGATAGTGAAAAGTCAAAACCAGCAGGCTCAGATGGTGAGCGGCGGGGGGTAAAGAGACAGCGGGATGAGAAGGATGAACATGGCCGAGCTTACTATGAATTCCGAGAGGAGGCTTACCACAGCCGGTGAGGGAAACAGTCCCTTCAAAGGGAGTGTCTGCTCTGATTTTGGTATACCTGATGCTAATTGGAAAGTCTGGAAGGAGGGGTGGATTAAAAATGGAATAGATTTTTATAGGCATAAGTTTTAGATCGAATCTACCATGGAAGCTCCTATTGACCTTTCTCACTTGTTGGAAGAAGCTGTCTGCTGGGATTTGATATTCACTAGTAGTTTAAAGCGGACATTATGTCATGCAGACACTTCTCAAAGAAGAGGGCTTTGGTTACATTGTATTTCCTTTCTGTCTTATGTGTAGCTCAAAGTCTCCACCACCCCCAGAAGAAGAAGCAAAAGATGAGGAGGAGGATCAAACTCTTGTGAATTTGGACACATGTATGTATAAGGCAGGCAAATTGGGGTTTTTAATCTCCTAGAAGTGATTTTGGAGATTAAAACTTAATGGCCTGCAAATTCTAAGAGTCTTTGCATCCATTCTTGACAGCTGAGTATACTTGTACTCTTTTGGTGGCTTTCAAGTATTTGGCATTCGAGTAAACTGATTGCTTCTTTCTCAACAGATACCTCGGATCTCCACTTTCAAGTGAGCAAAGACCGCTATGGAGGGCAGCCACTTTTCTCAGAGAAGTTCCCCACCCTTTGGTCTGGGGCAAGGAGTACTTATGGAGTGATAAAGGGAAAAGTCTGCTTTGAGGCAAAGGTAGTAGCTCATTAAGACCATTATGTATTAATTTATTCATTAAACTGCTATCTATTTACTGGATTTTTGTCCATCAGTATTTTCTTAGTGCAGGAAAAAGCACTATAATAATCTTAGCTTCAGTAACTGAGAAGTCGACTCCCACAGCTTTGGTTTAAGTTCAGTGAGAGTTGTTATTCTGATACAAAATTGTGATAGTTGTTGGTTTCAGTTTTTATAAAAGTTATTATCTTTCTAATTCAGACTTTGCTTCTGCGTTGGTCAGAGTATCTAAGAGTTCCTTTTCTGACTTGGCCAGGTCACCCAGAATCTCCCAATGAAAGAAGGCTGCACAGAAGTTTCTGTCCTTCGAGTTGGATGGTCTGTTGATTTTTCCTGTCCACAGCTTGGTAAAGTTATTTTTTAACATCCTCATTAGTGTTTGCTACTGTATTGCTTATTCAATGGAAAGTTTGGAGGTAGGTAACTAATTTTTTGACTATTCTAGGCGAGGATGAATTCTCCTATGGTTTCGATGGACGAGGACTCAAAGCAGAGAATGGACAGTTTGAGGAATATGGCCAGACTTTTGGGGAAAATGATGTCATTGGCTGCTTTGCTGTAAGTGCTCCTGAAAGTTGTGTATTCATAGCAGGGAATGGATAGAGGGCACTGGGAGTTTGATTCTGTTTCCCATCAACTCCTGGCTTTTATGCATTTGATCTATTATTGCTTATTTATGTCATGTAGCAGTTTGTACGCACACACACAAAAAAGATTAAATTGTAAGATTTAATCAATCTCAAACCTTGTCAGCCCATAAGTGCTCTTCTCTTTTGTCATTGTAGAATTTTGAGAATGAAGAAGTAGAACTTTCCTTCTCCAAGAATGGAGAAGACCTAGGTGTGGCATTCCGGATCAACAAGGAATCCCTAGCAGACCGAGCCCTTCTACCCCATGTCCTCTGCAAAAATTGTGTTGTAGAATTAAACTTTGGTCAGAAGGAAGAGCCCTTCTTCCCACCACCAGAAGAGTTTGTGTTCATCCATGCTGTGCCTGTTGAGGAGCGTGTGCGCACTGCAGTCCCTCCCAAGACCATAGAGGAGTGTGAGGTATACCAAGCAGTATGCAAAAATTTAGGTTTCCTGCTTTGGAATGGTGGGTGGGTGTGCTTTCCCAGGTCTCTTCTCAAAATGCTGCCAAACTGGGATGGGGAGATTG